AAGGAATAAGGCTCTAAGAGTATAGCCGTATATAGTAGTAGATTCGAACGTATTATACTAACGTATTTTAAGGATTTAGTAGAGCTTTAAAAGTACTTATTTTTAATCGATTTACCTAAGATAAGTAGATTAGTATATATATAAGTTAATTTTTAAAGTATTTAGGATTATTAACTTCTTAGAAGGCTATAACTTAAAACTATATACTACTTATTAGCGTTTTTAAGGTATCTTTATAATTGCTTAGGTATATACTAAATTTACTTTATTTAGGGGATCCCTTTAAACCGTTTATAAATAGCTTAAATCGCGAAAATTAAAGCTTAAAGATTTTAAATTAAGATCTAAAAAATTTAATTTATTTAATTTATCCTTTATTTAAAATCTTTAATAAATTCACTTTTATCTATTACCCTTACTTACTATAAAGGGGTTATAGCCCTTATAGCTTAGTACTACGAAGTAGCTAGAAGCGAGGATAATATTAGTCGCCTAAAACGAGGACTTACTATACTATTATAAAGCTAGAATCGGCCGTAGGTAACGGGAACCTAGGCACCTATAATAGGCGGAAGGGTCTAAGAGCGATACCCTATGTTTTCTATATCCGACCTTCTCCCTTAAACCTCTCTTATACGATAGCTAGTAATTTATCTTATAGTACTAATTATCCGCTAACTACTTACTTAAGTTTACTATTATTCCGCTATAAGATAGAACCGCTACTAGATATCTAAAGGTATATATTTAAAGGCTTATACCGGCGGTATAATTATAACCATAGCTAGCTAAGCCCCTACGAGTAAAGTCCCCTTAGCTAAAGTATCGCTTCCTAGAAAATAAGGCGATAACGACGATAATAACGATAACTTTAAAAGCGGTATTAATACTTAGGCTAATAACCTAAGGACACGGCCCTATCTAAGCTTAAAAGCTCTCGTAGGACGAAAGCCTTATACGAACTAATAAGCGTTAGATAGTTATATTACCGGCGAACGATAATAATACCTTACGCGAGCCTAGCTACGTTTCTACTATAAGCGGAGATATAGGAGGCGTTATAACGACTACCTAGCAGGGCTATAGAGCTTTCTAACTAATTAGCGGGGGCAATATTTACCTTTATAAGTTCTATTATACGCGCTATCTCGCACTAATATATCGAGGCTTAATAACTCCCTATATAAGATCGGGGCAGCGGAATCCGACCTATAGGATTATAGCTAGATACTAGAGACTATAAAGCATTTTCTTTTTCGATATTAAAAGTAGATAGCGGAACGCGAGATTATAATATAATATATAAACTAAAGATTAGGAACCTATTATACTTTAATAGAGGGAAAATAGTATATAAGTTAAAGAATTAAGCGCTGGATATATAAATAGTTAAAGCAGCGATTAAATTTACTACCGCGATAGGAAGGCTCGACTAAGAATAGGGACTATAGTTAAGGTAATTATAGATAAGTTAATACTATTATTAAATAGCTTTATATAGTAATAGACCACGCTTTAGCTACTAAGGATAAGATACTAAATACTTAAAGAATATAGCCTTTAACTATACCTATTTATTAATATTAATAACGTAGGAAGTAAGGACTTATAGGTAGTTAAGAGGAAGTATAGTTAGCTAAACGTCTAGGCTATATAGGGGCATAGGCCCGTTAAGCGATATTTATTTATTTATTCCGTGGCTGGCCCCTGCGACGGCTATAAACGCCCCGACGCTTACTTAAGAGCTAAATACGCCTTAGCTACCTACTCTTAGATACTGCTTAGACCTATGCTTATATCCTTACCCTTCTAGCCCTACCTTATATAAAGTATAAATAGTCTTCGAGGAGTTCTTCGGGCCCTATTCCCTCTAGTACTCTAAAACCTATCCTAAGGTATACTATACTCGATCTCGACTCTATTTAATAGCTCGTTCTTAAGATACCCCTTAACTTCGAACCGATAGTAATTATTAGATATTAGGACGTAGAAAGTTAGCTATAGCGAACTGATTTCTTCCTAGTCGTCCTACGGCGAGGTAAATAGGCTATATAAGTTATTATTAGGTACGGCGTTAGGCGACTTAGTTTCGATAGGCGGACTTCTTCTAGCATTTCTCGCTTCGTAATATATAGAGCCTAGGTTCTAGGGCAAGGGGGCCGATAAGCTATCGTTGGAAAGCACTAGCCCCTAGTAATCACGGCGGTAACCTATCTACTTACGAGGAAGCGGCTCCTCGTTAAGCGAGTCTATATCTTTAAAGACTATTAAAGAGCTCGTTAATATAGTAAGGAAATAGCGGTAGGGCAACTCGTGTATTTCTTTGCTCCTACGTCCAAAGGTAGGGGATACCTCGCGCTTTAAATCCCTTACTATAGCTTGCCTAATATTAGGCAGCGCTAAAAGTCCGTTCCTAGGCAGCAATAACTTACCGGCTACCTAGAGGTATATAGACTAGCCTTTCGTGGATATCTGCCCTATACTATAGTAACTCGTTCTTTAAAAAGCTATAGAACGGTCTAGGCATCTACTTACTTATTTATATCCCTCTTTTATAGGCAGTTAACGCTTTAGTCCGCGTATAGGAAGGCAAGTTAGTACACCTATATACCTAGGTCTTAATACTATGGTAGGTTCAAGCGAAATGCTAGTTAAGGTATATGCAGCGGGCTAAATAATATCATATGCGTCCTTAGGATAGTAAAGCCGACTCGTGCGGCTTAAGTTAAAATTAAACACGGCCGGCCTTAAGCTAAGTCCGGGAACTTTAGAAAGGAGCAAGGTGCTACCGGGTCTAGAGCAGCCATTGAAACTAGAGACGGTTCAATGTTGCAAACCGACACCCGAGTTAGGGGTCATGAGCTCTTCCTGCCCTAGTGTCTTGCCATCTTCCTCCTAGCTTATTATGCCCTATAACGCTGCATATAAGGAGTGACTGCTCCGCCAAGGAAAATAGGGGGCACCCCTATTATAGGGCATTTTATGGTCACTTATATAGGCATCTATCTCGCCAAAGTAGCAAATAGTGAGCTAAGTCCTATAAGAGCGGGCCCAACAAAAAGGAGTCGAGCGAGCACTTTGGCTGCCTTGCCCCCCTCCCTTCACACAGGATTCAGGCAACAGGCATCAACCCTGTTGAGCCGGCGCAACATCCCCGCCTACGATCTTTTCTTGCGTTGAGAAATCAGTTGATTCCCCGCTCTTCTGATGCCTCGGCTTCGTAAGTTGGCAATCTCGGCAGGTGGAGACATAGCGACGCACATCTCAGCGCAATCCGGGCTAGTAGTACTGCGCCTGGATCCGCTTGCAACTCTTGGTTCCGCCTTAATGGCCGGCAACCTCATCGTCGTGAAATAGCATTAAGATCTCGTTTCTCAAGCCCGCAGGCACGAAGATCTTTTCGCGGCGACACAAAAGCCCCTCATCGTTGGTACTCTAGACCTCTGATGAGAGCTCACCGGCGGTAGCGCCTTAGGAGGCACTCACAAGACGCTTCTGCTGGGCAACAAAGGCGTCCCCTTGCTGTGCCGCCAGTAGGGCCTATAGAAGTGACTCCTGCAACGCTGGTGCCGTTATAGCGGTGCCCCCCTCCCAGGACGTCGTCCGCGACGTCCTCAAGACTCGTGCAATACGCCTAAGATGGTCGAGCTTATCTCTTCCATCAGCGATAGGGATAGCCGGTCGCGAACCGGTCTAATCGCAAAACCCGATAACCTATCTTAAATACACACGGTCCCTACCCGTAGATTTATAGGGAAATAGCCGGTCAATCTTTCTAAGGGCGACGGGGATAGCCGGTCGCGAACCGGACTGATCGCCAATACCAGCAGCCGATCTTGAACACACACGGTCCCCTTCCGCAGGTTCACAGGGAAACAGCTGGGCAAATTTTCCAAGAAATGACGGAACGCACGCGCTTGCCAAGGTTGGACCCAGGTAAAAGCAATGCTCAACATGGTATTTGTTGGACAGGGTTGTCTCCAGAGTGAGCCTCATGATCCAGGGTCAAAGTTTCGAGCTGAGGCGACCTAGGCCCCGCGCCTGCAGCTGACCACCATGACAGGGGGAGAGGGGCGGCGCGGTTGTTGCTATTACTGCTTTCGTATAAGGAAGAAGATGGAAGACAAAAGAGGAGGCAGGGCAAGGGGCATAAATAGGAGCATACAGCAGAGAGGGAGACGAAGAAGGAATGAACACATGCACCCCAAATTATGCCCTCTGCCCTGCTCTCTTCGCGAGAGAAGGCGCCAGGTTGATCTCAGCCAATGGACCGCCCTGAAGATGGACGCACTGTTCGTGAAAATGTCAATCAGATCACGCCACTGACGGCGCTTGACTCGTCGCACGACTCTCTGGAACTTTCTTCTCGCCAGTTGGACCTCTCGGTTGAAACCAGAGAGTGAACTCTCCTCACGGCGCGATACTCCACCGCGGCCAAGGCGCATTCCTTCGCCACTGCGCGTACCCTTGCGGGCGGGCGGGCGGCTTTGGCGGCGGACTGAAGTAGGTTAGTCGCTGCTGCTAAGGCGAGTGAACCCAACTCGTGAGGAGAAGCGGTTGACGGCTCGATCGCCGCTGCGCTCTTTCCACCCATCACGACGAGACCTCCTAATCCCTCGCCAGAGGTAAAACGAATCTTCCCAACCGGTGGAGGCGCTGCAGCAAGCTCGGGCTGGGTGATGGTGAGCGTAAGCGGTCGGAGCTGGTAGCGAGGTGGTCCTCGACCACCGCATCAGCCAAAGCAATGTTCGAGAAGGCGAGGTCTATCGTGTTGGCAGTTGCAGTATGAGTTTGTCGGCACATTGGCGGGGTAGAGCAGGAGGCTATTGGCGCACGCCCACGAGGCCACAGCCTCGCCGCGGCCTGCTATGCGGCCGGCTTGCCAACTATATTATTTCTTTAGCTTAGCTAGTCCACTAGTCGGGAAGAACGACCTATGTGTAAAGAGCTCGTCACGAGGATGAACGGGATTCGTGGTCTATCGTGTCGCCGTCCCTGATCTAACAATTTATCCCGAAAACTTCTCTCCACTCATCAGGTGCATCCACCTCGGCGGCAGCGTCCTTCGCAGCTGCATCAGCAACGATGTTCCAGTCTCTCGGGATTTTCCAGAACTGGACAGCCATCCCGTAGTCCTTGTATCCCTCGATCTCACCCAGCAACACCTCCCACAGATCCCTATTCTTGACGTCGGCCCGTCCCCGTGTCGTCCAGCCATTCTCGATCCACGTCTTGGCCCATTTGGTTGAACCCTCAACCGCATACTCGGAATCGGTGGCGATAACAAACGTGTGGAACCCCTCGCCTGGCCAGTGTCGGAAGCGCAGGGCTGCAATAACAGCGCGGAGCTCCGCCCGGTTGCTAGACTGAATGCTATCGTCGCCAAAAGGTCCCTTTTTCTCTAGGTGGCCAGAGGCGATAAGTCGCTTGCCCAAATGATCAAGTCCGTGCCAGAAAGCCCAGCCGGCCTTTGGGTTTGGTTGGCCGTTGTTCAGACATGCACCGTCGGTGCGGATGAGGACTTTGCCGTGGTCATTTCGGAAAGTGTATCTGATAGAGTATGTTAGCTTTATCTTCCATCAACTATGCATTTACTTTCCTTGTGACAAGTATATGGGTCTTCCGGCCCGAAAATAACTCTGAGGGCGTTCCTGAAGCCGGCGACGGGACGAACTTGGTTGGAAAGTGCCGACCATTACCTCGTCTCAATCTAGGACCCAAAAGATCAAAGGGAATTTGAGGGGCTTCTACCATGATCGGCAGATTGTTCGAGCGACCCGCAGTAGAACTCGCAGCGTGCGAGTCGTTGGCGGCTAGTTCCAAGTTGGTGGTCTCGTCGTCCGGATCAAGGTGAGCACCATCGTCGTCGTCGTCCTCGCTGTCGTGAGCAAGAACGTCATCCATGAAGCTGTAATCTACACAGCACTTCCCGCAGGACACCAGACCATGCGGACCACAGACCAGCCTGCCGTCCGGGAGCTCACAGGGACCCTCGTCGTCATCGCTGCTACTTGGGGTGAGCGGTGTTAGCCCCTGGGCTAGGTACCATCCAAGAGGCATGGGTTCGGGTTGTTCCGAGGTGTGTAGTTGGCGAACTTGGGTGGGCTTTGTGAGAAACTGAAGACGGAGTTGATGGTGGAGACGTTGGGGTCCATATGGCACCGACGTGTCAGATAAAGAGCGGTGAAGAGCACCGCCAGCCACGACCCTTATCGGTGTATCTGGGGACGCACATGATAAGCGAGTGGGCCAGACAAAGCAGCTCAAACTCCTATCTGTGCCACGCCTCACATTTATTTGGTTTGATAGTGCGAGGTACATAATAACGGACCTTCCCCAATAGATCGTCCTGGCCCCAAAGTACCTTTCGTCTGCGCTAAAGCCTGCGCCTCTGGCAAGTGCTGCCTATGCCATAAGTTTCGCGCCAAGCAATTCTCCGACATCCACGGGCGAGGTAACCGCTCCACCCCCCTTCCCCCTCCATTCAGTAAAAACAACAACTCGTGGACTCGTGTGCGCATAGGCCGGCATCCTCCAGCAAGCGTTGATAGAGGCGCCGCATCTATTCTATATCCCTTTGCCACGAGACCTCGACGACGCTACTATCCGACAAGGCAAGAAGAGGCTTGCAGGCCCGACGGCGTCTCGAGTACGGAAGCAGCCGCGAAAACACAAACAAGCTCCATCGCCATCGCCGTCGTCGTCGCCGTCATCATCGCCAGCAGCCAACGGTCCGTTGCCCGACCCGTCTCGAGAACAGCTGCTCGTCAAGGCACGCAACAACTCACCACCTCGACTGTCCCCTGCCGCCGCCGACCTGGTCAAGACGTATTCGCCGCACAGCGCAACCAGCGTGTTTGGAAACGGCCACGAGCTCGACATTGGCCAGGTGGGTGGCTGCTCTACCGGCGGCGCCGTTGTCAGTGTCTTCCTGGCCATTGAGAGGGGCAACACGAGCATGAGATCCAGCAGCTGTTTCGACGCATTTGCTGATACGCCTTCGCCCAGCTATACCACAAGGGCCAGTCGGTCGATCCCATCGTGCGCGAAATCGAGAATGCGTTGCCATTTGTCAAGGGCACTAGGCATAAGGTCTATCACATCCTCCGCATCGGCTCCAGATGGGCCGCCATTCTCCACCACTTTGGCCCCGTCGTCAACCGCCCCCCCGCGCAGCTCACCGGCCTTCTCTGCCTGCTGCGATCCGCATCCAAGTGAGTGCAGCCAACGCCATGGCTACATGTAGCTCCCCTGCTTATCCGCCTGTAGCTGGGAGAGAGCGTCGACTAAGGACTACCTAGCTGCCCTCACAAGCCTCTCCGTCAGCTCAGATATGTGCCACAAGATTGCAGACTTCACCCCCTTGATTAACATCCTTAATAAAATCATATGTACAGCCCCTGGCCGTAGCCACGGTTCCTCGCTTAGTACTAATCGTCATTAGTGGAGTCCGCCTTTATTAACGAGACATATAGGCTTATGCCACATTCGGCACCTTTTCCTAGTACTATGACACTGCCTCGAAGCAGCCCAAGCAAAACAAGCACCCTTGAGCCGCGCATCGTCTCTCCGTCTCGCCTCGGACAATATTCCTATCGACGTGTTGCTTCGCGGAGCCAGGCCGCGAAAAAGATGGACTGCTCAAGGCGAAATCGAGCACGTAGGCGTAGTTGCCTCGGGTCTTGCCCCGGACTTGGCCAGTCTGCTTTTAGACGGCTCAAGACTAGGCAATGCCTTTGAGGTGCTCGAGTCCTCGTCAGTCGTCTCGAGAAAGCACGACGACACCTACACTTTGACCAAAGATATTTCCGACTCGGTCCGTGAAATGCTGCCAGCAGACCTTGTCGTTCGGCCCGCTTGGCTCTCGCCCTAGCCCCGGCAGAATCATCTTGCGAGTCTTTCCCACCTCTATGGAATCTACCAGCCAAGTAACTGTAATCTCTAATACTACCAGGGCTACTTCGGACAGTCGATGCATTAGAGTGAGACTCTTGGATGGGTCGTTCGCTGCACGGGAGGCGAGGGAGCTAGTGCCCTGAAGAGCCGCCGGCTTTGTTGGGTTGCTGGAAGCGGCGTGCCTAATACAACATGAGGCTGGCTGCTGTGCTCTCTAAACAAGCTTCTAGCTACGGAAGATTGTTGTTGTAGTGTCTCTGGCGGCGTTGGACGAGTTCCCGACCTATCCTTTGTAGGCGATAGGCCGGCATCTTCGTCCGTTCTCTTCGAAGCGAGAGAGCCACTTGACGTAGGAGCGGTGATGAGGCTCCTTAACCTTAGGATCGCGCCTCTGGACCTAGCGTACTTTAATTCGTTAGTATTGAACCTCCAAAGTGGGAGACTGACCTAACATGAGAAGTGCGCTAGTCGCGACAGCTCAGGCAGTTCCTAGTTGCCCTAGCCGAGCTCCTGTTGCTGACGAAATCAACCGCCGGCCTCTCCTCGCTATAGCGGGCATAGATAATAGGCACTATCATCGTAAAAGCCCTTGGGCAGACGTAGGACTTATGGTAAATGACAGTAAGAATATCAAGATGAGGAGTGTTGGTGATAGGGGTAAGTATGACCTAGGGTATTGCGAGCTACCGAATTCCGGCCCACTTTTTGAGGACCATCATTCAGTTGCGGAACGATGCGCCCTTGCATAAACAAATTCTAAACCAATTAGATCTAGGAAACCTTATAATCCCTGTCTGCACCAAACCCTCACTTGCTCATCCTCCGTGCGATAGCATCACTGGCCCCCGTTCTTCACTCTCTGTTTCGTCGTGATTGTGCGCCTTACAATGAGGGCCTGCTGATTTAACGATAGAATAAGTGGATGGCTACGTGCTTTCTAAACAATGTCTACTATTATTATCTTCTATCTCACTATTCTTATAGCCTCTAGCTATTATACAACGGTGTTTTTAATGCTATAAAGACAGCCTACCGGAAGGAGCTTAATAGACTGACTTCTTTAACGGATTCTACGCCTATTAATAAGGTTAATTTTATACGTGCGTATGCTACGGCACGTTAAACGGGAATAATAATAAGAAATATCTTATCCGGTTAAAGAACTACTAGAAATTAGCTAATCTCGCGTTCTAAGGCTTTAGGCTATCCTAAGATCTAAGAAGATAAAGTTACGGCATCCCTAGAATATAGGCCGTTTTTAGACTCTAATAATACCCCGAAATCTAGCCGCTATATTTATAATCTTAGTAAGAATAGAATACCTATAACTTAGAGGCGATATACTAAGATAGCGAAAGGCTAGGAAACTTAAGAATAGATACTAGTAGAATATAGTAGTAAAATTACTAGGTTAGAGGAGGAAGTAGATAGGCTAAAGAGAGGAAGAAAGAGAAGAGCGATCCCTAACCTAAATAGACGCTTTATATATCTCGCCGAAGCTTTAGCGGCCGGTAAGGCTATCCTCGAAATTAAGAGTCTAAAGAAAGCCGTTATAGTAGATTACGACTAGTTAGAGGAGGTAGTAGAGTCGGAGATAGAGATAGCTTTAGTAATTAAGGTTAACGTATCTAGGCCTCCTTAGTATACTACCTAATAGGGTCGCGTTATAAAAAGACTTAAGGCCTAATTAGTATATTTAATTCTTATTTAAATAATATATCTTTTATATTTATATATCTATAGTTCGCCGAAATATAAGTAGTTTAAAAATTAGATTTTTTTAGTAAGGTTTATCTTATTTAGTAGAGTATAAGGGGGGGGGGTAAGTAGAAGGGGGGGTAAGTATAGTAATATTACTATCGATATATTATTATTCTAGTACTTATAAGGTAAGGGTAGTATAAGAAGGGATAAAGATATATAATCTAGCTAAAAAGAATCGGCTATAAGGCCTTATTTATACTATAGTTAGAGGGACCCTTAAGTAACTTATATAGGCACTAAACTAGCCCTATATATAAGGTCTTTATAGGTCCCCGATATATAGCCTTATAATAATCCTTTAAGCGGCCCTCCCTTAATCCTCTAGGTAACCTATTAATAGCGGGGCGTTTAATAGCTAATAAATATAAGTAGCCTAGGTAGTAAGTAGTAAATTCGCTACCCTAAGGTAGTTATATTCCTTAGGATTATAAGATAGCCTTCCTTTTATTATTATACGTTCTTAGTATATAATTATTAAGAAAGTAGCGTAGTTTTAACTAAATTGCTTAATATCTATATCTTAAAGCTATTAAGCCGCGCTTCGCACTAGCTTCGGTAGCGGCTATAGTATCTACTATAAGCTTGTATACTAGCTTAGATCCCTTCGATCTAGGTACTTATACCCCGCCTAACCTTACTATACTAGCCTATACGGCTTAGCTCCGAACTAACTCCCCGGTACTAATCCGCCCGATCGGTGTCTTACCCTAGCGACCGGCGTAGACGCCGCCGCTATAGAAGGAGCTTAGTATAAATCCACGCCTTATAAGATAGGAGCCGCCGAGCTTATTACTCTCTAACTAGTTTCTATCGTCGATAGGGCTAATAAAGTCGCCTAAGAGTAGACTAATATATATAACGCTAAACTAGTAGTCTTTTAAGCTTTTTATAAGTTATTTAACTAAGCCGCTAAATAATTTACGTCTAGGATTAAGCATAGCTTTATAGAGTAGTTCGCTAATAGCTTTCTTAAATTCTAGTACTAGTCGCTCTCTATCTTACTATCTACGCCTATACCGATATATAGCTATAACGACCGGTATTATTCCTAAGGGATAAACCTATTAAGGGGTTTATATGAGTAGATATAATAGGGCGTGGTCTAAGTAATAATAAGTATATTATATTAGTAATAAGTTAAAGGTTATAGACTATAGACTATAACTAGGTAATTAAGTAATTAGAATTAAAGATAAGATTATAATAGAGATTATAATAATTATAATATATATTAAAATTAAGCT